GAAAATGTGAGCATGAGTTTACCAGTGACCAAGGTTCAAATTTGTGGAGAAAATGGTATACAGGCAAGAAGCCAATCCGCAAAAGGGGAGTGGGAAATAGAGTCACAATGAAATAGTCCCAATGATTCTAGAATTTCTGGCTCCAATTCTACCTGAGGATATTTTTATCCTCACTTTTCTATGGTTCAACTATGAGACATTTTTTTCTGTTGAGTTGAGCAAAATTCAGATTTTGTCACATGGTTAAAAAGTCTTCCAATTAACATACATTGGATGTTCTCTTAATCCATTTGGGCTGCTATAATAAAGTACCACAGACTGGATGGCTTATAAAGAATAAAAATTCATGTCTCACATTTCTGGGGCCTGTGAAGCCCAAAGTCAAGACACGAACTGATTTCGTGTCTGGTGAGGTTCTACCTCCTTTTAGAGACAGGTCTCACTGTAGCCTCATATGATGGAAATAGGGAGGAAGCTCTCTGGCACCTCCTTTGTAAGGACACTAATCCCCTTCATGTGGGCTTTGTCCTCATGAATTAATAAATCCCAAAGGCCCCATCTTCTAATACAATTACCTTGGGAGATAGGATTTCAAATTAATTTTGGAGGAATAATCACACCATAGCAGAGGTCAAATAAAATGAACTCACTATAGTTAAGAATGAGGGCAGGAAGAGATACTCCGAGTAATCCCACTTTGTATTAGAGTCATGTAGAGAATTATCTAATTGTTCCTGCTGGGATTATGTCTAATTGAATCTAGTGGCACATCTACTCTTAGCATAGATTCTTGCTCAAGCATTTACAAATATTTGTTGAATTGAATTAATTTCAAAACACACAGAGACAACAGTTTACTCATTCATTCATTTTGTTAAGTATTTATTGATCAGCCTTTTTGCAATAGACAGAGTTCTAATTTCTCAGGATATTGTGTTGAGTACTTACATTTAAACTCCCAGGTCTCATTTTTTTAAACCTATATACATCAACAGTAGATAGTCATCATGCCAAAAGCAGTTGATACATTAAAAGGAGACATTGTCCAGAACAATAGAGACAATTCAACAAAATGTATTAGTGAACAAGGAATTCTAGCTCTCAATTCATTGTTCCCTAGATGTGATATATTGGATATGCCATTTAGCCTACTAAGGTCTTAACATTTAAGTAGATGCTCTTTAGATTTATACTTATTTAAGATTTATCTAGATGTTCTTTAAAGCTTATAATAAACAGAAATTTAACTAGATGATTTTTAAGGCTTATTCCAGGTAAAAAGAAACTTAAAGTCTTTATTTTAATCTCTCAAATTGGTGGTTTTCAAAGTATGGTCCCCTACCAGCATCCTAGAAATTTGTTAAAATACACATTTTAGACCTCACCCTAGACGTACTGGACTACAAACCCTGGGGCAGGGAGTATAGCAATCTTTTTTTTTTTTTTTTTAAGAAGTTCTCATGGGTACTAGAGTTTCTCAACCACTACCTGGACATATAAAATATATTTAATAGTAAATATATGTATGGAAAACTTTTCTAATTTTTCACAGCTATATCACTGATATGGTTAGGCTTAGTATCCCCACCCAAATCTCATCTTGATTTGTAATCTCCATAATCACCACGTGTCAAAGAAGAGACCAGGTGGAGGTAATTGAATCATGGGAGCAGTTCCCCCATGCTGTTCTCATGATAATGAGTGAGTTCTCATGAGATCTAATGGTTTTATAAGGGGCTTTTCCCCATTCACTCCACAATTCTTCTTCCTGCCACCTTGTGAAGAAGGTGCCTTGCTTCCCCTTCACTTTCCCCCATGATTGTAAGATTCCTGAGGCCTCCCCAGCTATGCTGAACTGTGGGACAAAATATTTTGGGAATATTCTTATGCTTTTTGTGAATTTAAAATTATGTCAGTGTCACAGAGTTTATTTCCTATGGGTTAATTACTAGGGATCAGCTGCAGTGGATTAAACACACACACGCACATGCACATATGCACACACTTGAGAATACTGATGAAGGCTTGTAACTGAAGAAACAAAAACTAGATGATCTCTTGTAATTATCCAATTCTTCCTGTTACAAAACTCAGAAAATGATTAATAGAGAGACAGGGAGAATAAAATCCTGGGTTTACAATCACTTCTGTAAATGAGTAAGACCCTCCTTTATTTAGAAATCCTTTCTAAGTTAATAAGTAACGTGGTTTGGGTGTGTACATTTGCAGCTAGCACTAGTACATTAATGAACTTATAGAAAGATTTACCAGAAATTTTATTAGGTGTCACTTTTGCTGTTTGGTCTCTATAACTAGAGTCTAAAACATCCTACATACTGATCTCTGAGAGAGTCTAGGATGACCCAAAGGAATGAAAGATTTTTCCATAGGGTAATACAAAAATAGGAAGTAAATACACTTGATTTATATTCATGGGCCCTTTTTATTCTGTCTTCTCCTCCTCAATATTTTTAACTCTCTTTATAAAAGTTTCTTCTTTAGACATATTTTTTGGAGATTTGCTTTAAGTGATCCTTAATGACTAGAAGATAGGGACAGACACCACTGCTGCAATCCTACCAGCTTTCTCAGTTTGGGCCTGGAAGCCAATTTTAACTTTTCCCTATTCAGTTAACTCCATATTGTATAAAGATATAGATAGATAGATGATAGTCATTATCTCAGAGTGAATTGTGGTATGGGTGTGGGTGGTGTGTTTCTAAGCAATAATTTTGATTTGATTTTAAGCCAGAATTATTTGTTTCAGTAGCAGCAGTGGATATTAGAGTATCAGAAGATAACAGTTTTCTTTCTTTCTTTCTCTTTTTTTTTTTTTTTTGAGACAGAGTCTCGCTCTGTCGCCCAGACTGGAGTGCAATGGCGCGATCTCGGCTCACTGCAAGCTCCACCTCCCGGGTTCAAGCAATTCTCTCCCTCAGCCTCCTGAGTAGCTAGGATTACAGGCACCCACCACCATGCCCGGCTAATTTTCGTATTTTTAATAGAGATGGGGTTTTGCCATCTTGGCCAGGCTGGTCTTGAACTCCGGACCTCGTGATCCACCCATCTTGGCCTCCCAAAATGCTGGGATTACAGGCATGAGCCACTGCGCCTGGCCTGTGTTTTTGTTTTGTTTTGTTTTAATCTTTAGTGAATGAGATTCAGAGTAGCATGGATATCTTCTTATATCGTGGGAGGATTATTTTGTTACTGTGAAGGAAAATACAATTTCCTTTCCTCCTCTCCAATATCCTTGTCTAAAGTTTGACTTAACTTTGAGTTTGGGGGCTTTCTTACCCACTTGCCTACTATTAAGAGTCAAAAAATAATTCTAATCTAGAAGAATAGTACTTTCTCTTTTTCCCTACCATTAACTCTGGCTATTTTTGACAATTTTGGAGAGTCTGTAAACCTGATATAATTATTTTCATTTATATTTTTATAAAATGAAGAATTTGAGGATATAAAGGATGTTTTAAAAAATCTAATTATCCCTACCTCAGAGAACTCAAGCATATTACTTATTTAACACTTATAATCATTTCTTCTCTTTTCCTTTTCTCCAGTTTGCATGCTGCAGACTTGTTCTTATAATCTCTTCTTAAGTCTTTCCAGCAGCATCTGCTTTTCACCTTTCCTCATTTCTTCCCCTGATTTTTCAATGCAGTTTTCAATGGTTTTCTTTTGACCCCACTTTCAAATTTCATTGTTTTCTTCTGTTCTCTTTCTTCCTCTATATTCCACATATGACTTCCAAAGGTTTTGTAAAGATGAATTGTCCAGGATGAAGAGAGTGATTGATTAAGAGCCTGCAGAACTGGGAAGAGGAGAGTTGCCAAGGTTGTCTTCATGTGTAGAAGCATAGTGGAGCTACCCAGAGTGTGAGAAGCAAGAAACAGAGAGCCGTGCTAACGCATGACGAAAAGCGGAAGCCTATTAAAAGAATGATCTGGAGGAGTGTGCAGTGAAGAAAATAGAGTCAGCCTGCCGGGTCAGTAGCTAATAGCCCTGGGTTTGCAACTAAGGAAATTAAAACTCTAGCTAATGAGAATTGTAGACACCTACTGAGAGTGAACCGAAGGCTTCCTATTAAGTTCCCTTCTTGGTCTTCTTGACAGAAAAGTCAGAAAGTTGTTTCCTAATTGTGTAGTAGCAAAAGAGTTGAAATGGAGGTTTAAAAAATGATGAAAGAGAAGTTTGAGGCAAACTCTTACTCAGCTCCTTCACAAGGTCCAAATAGGATGCCTCCCCTACTCCACTCAAAATGTAAATCAGCATAGGTAACAAAAATGAAAAGGCATCAAAAAAAAAAAAAAAAAAGAGTTGGGCCAGATAAGACATACAGCCAAGACGACTCAAGACAGTCAGCGGGAATTTGGGGTGTGGGGACTTCAAATTAATATATCCAATATTAGCTTTGTGGAATTAGCAGGATTAGGGTAACTCTTTCAAGAACTCTTTCAAGAACATTTCATGATTTCAATAGATGACCAATACCTATTATTATGTACCTCCCCCCGCTTTTTTTTTCCTGCAGAAGTTAAAAAGTTTGTTTGACTCGCAGGTCACCAAGAGATTGATTAGAGGCCTCTCGACATCATTTGGGTTTGGATAAATCTGTAGGGCCACTTTACAGACTGTCTCCAACTCCTGATCCCACTGTGGTTCTTTCTGAATTGATCCAGGTCCCTGCTAGCAAGTGAAGCAGATAGAATTCAGGCTAGTTGTGAGATGACATACAGCAGGCTGAGATGATGGGGACATTTCAGAACCAAGAGGAGGTGGCGGGCAGGACACAGACTTGTTTCTCCCACCTTGATGCCAACGTGGTCTGGGAGAGATCTCGAAGGGCAACGTCGAGGGGACTGCTAGCGTCAGCCAGGGCGCCGCGGTCCGTCGCCCCTCTCCGCGGGCGGGGAGCGAGCGCGTGTGCGCGAGAGCGGCGGGCGGCGGCAGGAGGAGGCGCAGGCGCGCTGCTCGCCCGTCTGCAGCCCCGCGCCGAGCGCCGCGTCTCGGGAGTTGATGGCAGCACCACTGTGCGGCCGCCCGGCCGAGCGCGCAGCGCAGCCACACGCTGCTGCCCAGGGAGCGCCCAAGATGTGGGGGGACCGGGGCGGCAGCGGCTGTAGCAGCGCCAGGGACGGGGGCACGCAGCAGCCTCCGCTCGCTCGCCTGTCCTGACCTGCCTCGCTTGCCCCCAAAGAATGTCAGCCAAGTCTAAGGGGAAACCCTCCTCGTCCTGTCCAGCCGAGGGACCGCCGGCAGCCTCCAAAACCAAGGTGAAGGAACAGATCAAGATCATCGTGGAAGATCTGGAATTAGTCCTGGGCGACCTGAAGGACGTGGCCAAGGAACTTAAGGAGGTGAGAGGCGCGGGGGTGGGGAGGGAGTTCGGCGCCCTTCGACCCCTGCGGGGTCCCCTTCCCATTTTCGGCAGGGACCGCCAGATTTCCAAACTCCTGGGAAACTACAGAAAAGGCGCCTGCAGACGGACTTTCTTTGCTCTGGATACTCCTGAGAGGAGTTGTTGTTGCACTTTTTGATTTTTTTTTTTTTTTAATCAGGAAGAAATCAACTAGTGTTTTAATCGATGGACCTGGGCTGGTGGGAAGGGTGAACGCACGCGTGTCTCTGAATCTGTGTGTGTGACGACGGGGGAGGGGGTTAGCTGGGGGTGTGTCGGCAGAGGAAGTCGTGAGCAGCCCGGCCGGAGCGTGCAAGATGCTCCTCTCCTGCCCTCTTGCTTCCCCAGAGTCCTTTGGCAAGTCCGCTGCCTATCTGGCAGCCTCCCCAAGTCGGGGCTGAAGAGGGGCCGGGTTCTGGGCCCTGGGCCAGATCAGGGAGGGCAGCCTGGGGGAAGCTTTGCTCAGACTCCCCTCCCTGTCTCCTGAGCCTTGCTGCAGGGAAGGCGACCCGGGCTCCTGGCAGCCCTGGGGCTAAGGAGGGGATCTGGGACTTTCTCACTTTCTCAGTTTCTGAAGCATCCCCTGCTCTCCTCCGAATGTCGTTCCCAGTAACTCTGGGCCTTCCTGACACCCTACCTCTCTTTTCTTCCTTCCACCCTGTCGCCACTTGGCACTGAACCCGAGGAGCAGGACGCGCAGGAGAGTGTGTGTGTGGCCGGGGTCTTGCCACTGGCGTCGTGGCTCTCTGCAACTGGGACTGCTTCGGTTCTTCCCCACTTTTCCTCTATCTCACTTATGTTCAGCCCTACTCCCGCCCGCCCCTAGCCCCAGGTGATCCAGATGGAAAGAAGCAGGGAAGGTGTCAGGGTTGAGGCTGCGTAACTCAGGCGGCGGCTCCGGGCGGGGGCGGGGGCCGGGCTGGGAGGGGTGGGGTCTCCCGAGCCAGGCTGGCTGCCGGCGGCGTCGCGGAGCTGGTGGCAGAGTCCCAGCGCGCCGCTCACTACTAAATGGGCTCCTGGTGCGGTTCTCGGTGAGGGAGTCCGTAGCTCCGCTTGCGTGAGAGCTAAGACTGGAACTTCGAAGGTGGTGGTGGCTGCAGCGGGAAAAGAAGGGGTGGGGCGCAGTCTAGGTCCAAAATTGTAATCCTGTTTCTGAAGCCAAGGGGGAGGAGACTGAGGGTTGTTTGGATGACTGGCCTCTAGAGATTAACCTCCTGTATTCAATTTCCAAACCAAATTTCAAGAGCCCCGTCGTCTTCCTTCCCTCCCCCCAATACCTCTATGAACTGAACTCCGCATTTGTTACCTAATATAAGTCTGTTAAAATGGGCCATTCGTCACCAGGGTTAAGTTTGCCAATGGCAAATGTCGTTCCTGTAGGTTACTCCGCAGACATAATTACTACTGAGGTCCTGAGAGTGGCTGTTAATATAGATTCAGGGATAAAACTTGTTCGTGTTTTCAGGGTTTCTCTAGGATTATTGCTTCACAACTGGTTGACAGATGGTGGGGTTATGCATTGAAATTCAATTCTAAAAATGCTGTCCCTTTCTTTGTTATTCTTTTATATGACATCTTTGGCAGACTGTGTTTTCATCTGAAACATTATGGCGTTTTAACAAATGAAATTGGGCATATTCCTTTCGGCAGAATTGTGCTTAATAATTGGTAAGGTTTCTATGGGGAATGTAGAAAACCTACAGCGGCACAGAAACGTATTTACTGTTATCATGAGGCTGAGACTAAAAGAAAGGTAGTTAAGCAGAATTCTGCATCTGTGAGCCATACTTCCTTATGTTATAATGCCAGTCCACTCACTTTTTTTTGCACAGAATAAATGACAAGAAACTACACATGGTCCTGGTTTTACTTTGCCTCATTATTTATGGACATTTAGAGATCAAGTAGATCTGTAGTGAAATCTTCAACCTCCCTGTGGTTATTGGGTAGAATCACAAAAATGTAAATCAGGAAATCTGTTGATACCACTTTCTGTGTCTTCATTACTGAAGATTTTTTAAGGTGAAAAAAAAGGTTGTTTATAAGAGGACTAGAAAGCAGAGATAATGTACAACCCAGTAGATGAAAATATATAACAGATCTAGAGATACAATTTTGACTCAACATTTTGGAATATTTGTTTGCCTTAAGGATCTGTTTGAGTAAAAATCTCACCATGAAACTGAAATTTATGACTGATAAATAATGTGATGTGATTGTTAATTACTTTTGTGGGGTATCATCATCCTAGATTTGCACAAGAAAGTGTACCTACTATGGCCAAATCCCAAAACATTGGCTATTCATATAATACGAAGGAAAGTATTTTGAGAACAAAGTATTTATAGGGAATGTTTAACCTATGACATCTTGCAGTTGTCCAGCATGTATCTTTTTAGGATAATCCTGCATATGTGAGTGAACATGTCTTGGTATAGTTTTGGATAAAGAAATAACAAAACTTTGTATATTACAAAGCTTGTTGGTTTCTGTAAATGAATGTTACTGTTCATCAGTTGTCATATTCAATATTCTGGCAGTTTAAAATGAGTACGTGTCAAATATACACTGCTATATTTAGAATTCTAACTCCTTTATTGGCAATGCTAGGCTTTTAGACCATAATATATTTTAATATAAATTATCGGCGAGCTCTTCTTAACTTGGAACAGAAATTAAAAATAAAAAAGTAGTTATGACTGTATCACTATGTCAGTCATCACATAGTATTTGTTTTTTCTTTCTGCTTTCAAAAAATATCTAGTTAAAATGCAATCTTCTTTAATTCTGTTCTTTGTTTTTGCATAATTTCTGCACCAACAATATTAAACTTTGGTTTGAGGTTATTCTGAAATTGCTTTTCTTCATAGAAGTTCTCTGGGCTTAAGTCATCTGAAAACTCAGGTAGTAGAATAGATTCAAACATAATAGTAATTGCTTGAAACACTTTAATAAATAGTGACAAAACTCCAGTCTGCTCAGCAAGATGAGTTGTTATTTTGGGTATCTGTTTTATGATTATTTCGTTCTAATTGCTTAATCAGTTATAATTGGATTATATATTAGAAGCAGAGGAATAGGCTTTCTAGAAAGTCCAAGAGCAGCCTTATTCTACTGTCAGAATTTAGTAAAATCTCAAACAATTTGACTTTTCAGAAATAATATGGGTCCTTTAGTTTTCTATGCAATTAATTTATTGGAAAAGACTTAAATATAATTCAGTATACTTATTGAGCACCTACCATGTTCAAAGTACTAATACCACCTTTTTAATTGCCACCAAGATGAATAAAGCATCGTTTCTGGTCTCAGTGAGCTCCAAAGGTTAGGTAGGGATATATTTATCCGGTCTTTCAACCTCAGCACTGTCAAAAGGCATTGTGGCCTTTAGTGGCCACTCTCACTGCAGGCTTGGGGAAATCAAGAATTGAGAATAAGAATGAGTATATGTTGATTTATAAAATGATACATGCTGCATACTTAGTAGTATGGCAAGTCTTTGATGAAGAAAGAAGCTTAAAAAGATTAAAATATATGAATTTAGAGAAATTTGCAGGTGATTTAGTTTGTCATGATTAACATAAATGGATCAATACCATATACAGGAGATAACATGTTCAAATGTTGTAACTAGATATTGAAGATTTCCATGAAAGGTAAGTCTTTTGGAGAAATGGAGGGTTAAAAAGGAAGATTTTGAATTCTTCTTTTTCTTAATGTAAATCAGGTTTTAAGAGATACTCAGGAGGTAAAAGGAAATAGGTTTGGACTACATGAGTAATCCACGTTGCATTTTTCTACACATTGAAAAAAAAATAAAAAGAAAATAGTGGTGAAACTCTTAGAGTTTTAGGGATAAAATTAACCACAACTGGTAGAGTAGGTGTGAGTGATACTTTTTCACTATGAAACGTAGAAACAAGGCAATTGCTTTTTAAAATATTTCTGAAATAATCTAATGCCTTTGAGTAGCAATATGCCTGTTCTTTTATGAAGATCTCACTGGTAAACTGTTTTGCATTAAATGCAGGTATTAATATGGGATCACATATCTTACTGGTCACAGTGACAGTGGAATCTCTAATAATCAGCCTTTTATCTGGAAACAAAATTAATTGCAGCTTTAGCGGGATTCTCTTCTAGTTTAGACGCATTATAACCTTGAGCTTTTCTTGTAGTGTTTATTTTTATGATTTGAAGCAACAAAGCTACTATATGAGTTGAAAAAACATTTATATATATAATTTCTTGAGAGGCTCTCTGAGTAGACATGACTCTAATGGAGGAATAAGTTAAAATAAGTTGTTTTGTTGTTGCCTTAGAATCACTCAGTGACTGGATCTCCATTGATGAGAAGTATGTCAGCATCGTTGCCATGGACTGGAAAGCACCCATAATTTGTCTTATAGTGGCATAAACTGAAATAAATTTAAGTTGAATTTTGAAAAATTCGAAACCCATAGGAAACAGTCTGATTTGAACTGATGAAAACAGAATTAACAATTATCTGAAAAATATTTTCACTTTTAAATGTTCCCTCTTTTAATGTCTTAACCACTTGATATTCTATAGTTTGTTGTTCTGGAAAGTCCTACTGAGTATTTTTTGGTTAATGAGCCCATGCATACAAAATTCATTACAAGAAAAAGTTATAGAGAATAATCTTGGAAGCATTTTCTTTTTGTTTGAGACAGAGTCTTGCCCTATCACTTAGGTTGCAGTGCAGTGATAGAGATCTTGGCTCACTGCAGCCTCCATCTCTTAGGCTGAAGGAGTCTTACCACCTCAGCCTTCTGAGTAGCTGGGACTACAGGCGTGCGCCACCATGCCTCGCTAATTTTTAATTTTTTTTTTTTTTTTGGTAGAGATGGTATCTTGCTATGTTCCCCAGGCTGGTCTTTAACACCTGTCTTGAAGTCATCCTCCTGCTTAGGCCTCCCAAAGTGCTTAAATTATAGG